CAATGCCATAGCAACCACCTAGAATACCCTACCAACCACATAGCAACACACTTACTGTATAATCACCCAGAACATCCTAACAACGCCATAGCAAGCACGCAGCAACACACTTACTGTATAATAACCCAGAACACCCTAACAATGCCATAGCAACCACCTAGAATACCCTACCAACCACATAGCAACACACTTACTGTATAATCACCCAGAACATCCTAACAACGCCATAGCAAGCACGCAGCAACACACTTACTGTATAATAACCCAGAACACCCTAACAATGCCATAGCAACCACCTAGAATACCCTACCAACCACATAGCAACACACTTACTGTATAATCACCCAGAACATCCTAACAACGCCATAGCAAGCACGCAGCAACACACTTACTGTATAATAACCCAGAACACCCTAACAATGCCATAGCAACCACCTAGAATACCCTACCAACCACATAGCAACACACTTACTGTATAATCACCCAGAACATCCTAACAACGCCATAGCAAGCACGCAGCAAGACACTTACTGTGTAGTCATGCAGAACACCCTAACAATGCCATAGCAACCTCACAGAACACCATCACCACATAGCAACACACTTGCTGTGTAACTACCCAGAACTCCATAACATTGCCATAGAAACCACACAGAACACCCTAACAATAGCATAGCAACCACCTAGAATACCCTACCAACCACATAGCAACACACTTACTGTATAATCACCCAGAACATCCTAACAACGCCATAGCAAGCACGCAGCAACACACTTACTGTATAATAACCCAGAACACCCTAACAATGCCATAGCAACCACCTAGAACACCCTACCACACGCAGCAAGACACTTACTGTATAGTCACGCAGAACACCCTAACAAAGCCATAGCAACCTCACAGAACATTATAAAAACCACATAGCAACACACTTACTGTATAACAACCCAGAACACCCTAACAAGGCCATGGCAACCACACAGAACTCCCTAACAATGCTATAGCAAACACACAGAACACCCTACCAACCACACAGCAAAGTACTTGCTGTGTAACCAGCCAGAACACCCTAACAATGCCATATCAACCACACAGATCACCATAAAAACCACATAGCAACACACTTACTGTATAACTACCCAGAACATCCTAACAAGGCCATAGCAACCACCCAGAACACCCTAACAAGGCCATAGCAACCACCCAGAACACCCTAACGCCTTAGAAATCACACAGAATACCCTATCAACCTCATATGCCAGCCTGGCAGAAGACTCCAGCATCATGGTGGCATGATTTGCATCAGTCAGATTGTCCTCTGAAATTTTACAGTTTCTCATGTTCATCTCTCCCAAGCTCAAAGCTTCATTAAGCAGAGAATACCACAAGACATCATGGCAACAGTCAAGATGAGTTCAAGCTTTCCCTGTTATGACCACAAACAATCTATCTCAGCTAAGAATAAAGCAATCATTACAAATTATTACACCATTAGATGTGTCAGAGGACAGTCACCGGTCACTACAAAAATAGACCAAAAACTCAGGCGGACAAGATTGTGTAGCATTTATGCAGCCTGCAATTATGACCGTCCAAAAGAGCCACTGGATTCTGTGGAATAACAAAAGCATAATAAACAGGCTTTTGAAAAGGCGCCAATCTCCATAATGTAAGCAGAGCCCACCCTCACAACGCAGCAATCTCATTGGTTCCTCGACCGTCACGCTCAAACTCACAGCCAGACTCATAAGAATGGGTTCACTGTGTTGTCTAGCTGAAAACACGTCCAAAAATGTACACCAATACATCATAAATCTGCAAGTCACACACGCTGACATATGCAAATAATTATTCGTCCTGCACGTTATCAAGTGAAAAACAAAGCATGGGGGAAAAGAAACATGCACTTTTCCTGATAGCCATTTTACCAAATTACTAAAGCCCATAAAAGTTGCATAACGAGCAACTACGCCAAGAGGTGGCTGTAGAAAATAGCCCTTGGCTCCTAAAGAAAAGGGTTGCCTTGAAAGGGCTTTTGTTTGCTGAGGGCCCCCGTGCCAAATTCCTCTCGACGGGCTTATGAACCAGCTGTGTTGGGCAATACCCGAGAGGCTCTGTTGGGCTTTTTCGCTTGAGGTAATTTTGTGATGCAAACAGGGAAGGGCGACTTGATTATGCTGACAGTGTGTGTAAGATGAGCACACGTCAAAGTGCTGGGTGTGTGGGGAAATGCAGAGATGTTTCAGCTGCAATGGAGAGGTAGAATGATAAGGGCTGATGCAGGAAGATGCATCCATTCAGAAACATTAGCTAAAATAACTCTGATGGGTTATCTAGCCACGATTAGCCTTGATTGCAGACGAGGTACTTGATAAGCACCCGGATCACCAGAGAGAAAAAATATAGGAAGTTTGAAAAGTTGTATAAACAAAGATTACTATCTAGACAAGACTTAAGGATTAGAAGAGTGCTGTAAATAGATAGTGACTATAGGTCGAAGCTCTAAAATGATTAAAAATAAATAAATAAATAAAAAGAGTACCATTAAAAGTGGTCTATATCAGGGGTTTCGCAACCTTTTAGTGCACAGACTAATTTATAAAACAGTATTTCTTAATTAATTGTTAATATTAAATATAAAAAATTTATATATTTGGAAAATATTTAGTTTTTTTTATTAGTCTCTGTAGTCACTGCAGTACTGTACTATTAAATGTATTTGTTTTTATCTATTTTGTATTGGTTTTATTACATTTGTATTTGTTTTAGTACATGTATTTATTTATTGTAATCTAATTTTTGTTATTCATTTATTTATGATATACCTTTTATCATTTATATTTTATTTATTTCCATAGATGTTGTCAGGATTCTGGACTGTCTGTGTTATGGTTTTGCTCCCCATGTGCTCTGCTACCTAGTTTTCCCGTGTGTTTGATTGTTCATTGTTTCCAGGTGTGTCTCCTTATTAGTTTATCCTCCTCACCTGTCTGCCCCTCGTTATCTGCCCCATTTAAGTCCTAGCCTGTGCCATTCTCCCTTGTCCGGTATTGAATGTTTGTCATGTGCTACATGTGTTCCTGTCAGCCCTGTGTATCCCGTGTTGGAAGGATTAAAGACTGTCTTTACTGTGAAATCTCCTGCGTCTCCTTGTTCCACGCTCCTCAGTGTAGTACATTCGTGACAGAATACCGGACCTACAACAGTTTAAATTGCGTGTTTCCCCTTTGTTTTTGTTTCTCGCTCCGTGTTTGTTTTTGTCCTCCCGTTGTTTCCCTAATGGATACTCTCGCCCGCCCTGAATACATCCTCCTCCTGCTGGAGCAGGGGGAAAGATCGCTCGAGGGTCATACCAGACTGTCGCCACCTACTCGACCTCGGCTCATAGCTCCCTCGCCTCCACCGTCACCCGTCGATCCACCAGCTCCACCGGGCTCCCTCGTCCCTCCGGCTCCGCCTTGGTTGGGCGTCGACCCGCCATCGCCTCAGGACTCCGCTCCTCCGGCTGCACCTTGTTGCTCAGTCCCACCGGCTCTATTGAGCTCATTCTTCCCACCAGCTCCACCTTGGTCCTCAGTCGCTCCAGTTCCGCAGTGGATCTCCGAATCTCAGCTTCCGCCTTGGTCGCCAGAGCCCTCGGCTCCACCCTGGCCCCCCGGATCCTCGGCATCCCCCTGGCTCCTTGGCTCTCCGTCTCGGGCTCCTCCACCACCTGCTTCACCGCCGTTGGTCAGCCCCCTGGAGTCGGCGGCCATTCCTCCTCCATGGCTCCGCCGTCGGCTCCACCGTGGGTCATCATAATGGCTGTGGCCTGGGTCCAGCTGGACTCTCCTGCTCCAAGTCCCTCCTGTCTCCTCCCTGGACTCATCTGCCGGCCCCCTCCTGGATGTCCGTCCTCCTCCTGAGCCTCCTCCCAAGTTCCCACCCATTCCTCCATCTGTTGTTTCTATGGTGCGAGGATGCATCTTCCGGGAGGAGGCGTAATGTCAGGATTCTGGACTGTCTGTGTTATGGTTTTGCTCCCCATGTGCTCTGCTACCTAGTTGTGTTTGATTGTTCATTGTTTCCAGGTGTGTCTCCTTATTAGTTTATCCTCCTCACCTGTCTGCCCCTCGTTATCTGCCCCATTTAAGTCCTAGCCTGTGCCATTCTCCCTTGTCCGGTATTGAATGTCCGTCATGTGCTACATGTGTTCCTGTCAGCCCTGTGTATCCCGTGTTGGAAGGATTAAAGACTGTTTTCTGTGAAGTCTCCTCGTTCCACGCTCCTCAGTGTAGTACAATCGCGACAGCTGTATTTATTTGAATCCAATTGTCATTATACATTTATCGATTTCTGATCAATAATTTATTTATTATTATTTGTGACATTTACAACCATTTTTATTTATTTTTTTCCACTTTTTCTCAACTTTTCCATGGATGAAAAGATTTAGTGACCCAGAACTATTGTATGTCTTAAAAAGATTCAGAATATAATGCATATGTCACATAAAATGCTTCTGCAGTGCCTTTTTGTCATTTCGAAACTATATAGCTCCTAGTATCTCTGTTTTGGAAGAAATTCTGCAGAATTTCTCCTTTTTAATATATAATATTAAGTAAATATACTTGTCCCTCAGCTTGCAAAAATAACTTTAGGCCTGTTTACACCAAGGACAATAACTATAATGATAGCTAAAACTATGAAGTTTTAATAATCATTCTAATTCTATGAGAACAGTCCATACGACAGCAGTAACAGTAACGGCACAGAGGAATTACATAATTTGAATCAATTTCAGAACATGTTTGTCCAAATGATGAAAACATTGACAGCCAATCAAAATCAATCCACCCAAAGATTGAGCTCTTAAAGCGGTAGACGACAAAAGTCGTGCACACTCTGCTACAAAATGCAGAAAATGCTATTGTTCATTGGTGAGGACGCTAATATAGCTATCATCATGGTCATCGCTATAGTTATCGTTCTTGGTGTGAACAGCCTTTACAGCACTTACAGACCTGGAACATTCCTTTAAAATGCTTCAAACACCGTAAAACTGTCAATGCCCTAAAAGCTATTTGCTCCAACTGAAATTCAGAGCTCTGACGCATCTAAAACCGAATGATAGTGGTGTTTTACATACCGTCAAAGCTGCCGTGCTCTGTGCAATACTGCAGAAGTTTGCCATAGGTTTCGTTGGACGGGCGAAACACGAACACACCAGAGTTAAAACAATCAGGCCAGCCGGGGTCTGGAGCCGCAGACAGCTCCTCTCTGTCAAACAGCTCATCTATGTTTGATACCACCTACAGCCAACAGAAAAGTGTCAAACTTCTCACACAACACTGACCCAATTGTATTTCATTTTTGTGTTTATTTTTTTAATGTATTTTCTTTTATTTTGGTCGTATTATGTACAATTCATTAGTGCATGTAAGAAAAAAGTTATTTTACTAAGAAACACTACTGTTGTTTTTTAAATTAATTATTCAGCAAGGATGCTGAGCTCCTCAAAAGTGACAGAAAACAGCTCTAATGTTACAAAAAAAAATTCTTATTTTAAATAAATGCTCTCTTTTTAACTTTCTATTTCTCAAAAATCCTGAAAATAAAATGTATCACGGTTTCCACAAAAATATTAAGCAACACATTTTTTCCCCCAAAATTGATGATAATTCAGCTTTGCCATCACAGTATTCACAAGAATAAATCTAGCGTAGCGTTAGTTCTGGCAGGTCACGTTAGTCAAGCTCGTATCAGCTGACTCTCAGCTGATCCCCATCTACCTATGGTAATCCGACACCTATCTAAGCATTCATATATAAGGTCCCGCAGTAGTATCAGCAGTTTTCACATTGCTAAATAGCTAATTACCCTCCTCCATCCCCAGCTCCTCCTCTGTCAGTCGGGATTCAGCCTTCTGATTCTCCTTGAATCAGACTAATTCTAAAATGTGTACATAACATTATTGAACTTTAACGATATCTGCAATACATTTATGTTGGTTCTGTTCTGTTTAGAAATTACATTTTACGTTTTAATTTACATATTAATATAGAAATGTTATTTCAATTGTAATCATATTTCACAATATTACTGTTTTTACTCTATTTATGATCAGATAAATGTCTCATATGTAAAAAAAAATAATAAAATTGCATTTTGAATAGATGATGCCACAGATGCTTTCACTACTTTCAGCGAATTACACAAGTTAAATATAACGCATAGGCGTACATTCACACAGAGTTAATGATGCACAATGTAATTCAAATGACATGACAAACCGCAATATAAATATTTCATGCATGTTTTGACAAGGCACAACTTGAACTCTCTGCTAACCAGCTGGTTTGAAGTCATAATGCGAACTCACCAGTGTGTCTGCGTCCATAAACACACACTTGGAGTAGTGCGTGAGAGTCCAGCAGTGCAGCTTGGTGAAAGTGACACCCAGATCAGGTCTCTTCATCATGGCCAAGTGTGCCATGTCCCCACTGTCCAGCACATCCACTAGCCTGACTTCATCGAAGATCTTATGAAGCACTGCCCTAAAGACATTCACAAACATCTCATTTTGTTTTCCACGGAAGGCAGAGAGTTTGCAGTACAATACTGGCTGAATGAAGCATGTTGTACCTTGCCTGATCGGACACATGTGGCCCAATGAGCACCACCAGCTTTTTTGAAGTCTTGTGGTTCCTAAGCGATTTTCCAAGCACCATAGCTCCCCTTGCATAGCTATCGTTTGTGGCCAAACTGACAAATGCCTGTTCTGCTAAAGAAATGAAGATTGACATAACACTGACTGACAGATCAGGTCTAATAAATTTGATTTCACATTACCATTCTAAGGCATAACATGATTTCTCCCCAAAACAAGACATAATGGAAGTCAACGATACACATTTCCCCTCATAATAATGTAAAAAGTGGTGAAACTTACAAAGCTGAATGAATGAACAATTATAAGTTGTGCCTGTGTTAAGTGATTATCATAGATCTGTTTTTCCTTCTGATTCTGAGAATCGGTTCTTTTGAACAATGCGTTCGGAAGAATCGGTTCAAAAACTGATTCAGTGATTCTTAACGTGCCATATTCTCTAAAATACTCCAATAAAGCCATATCATGATGTTTTTCTTCAAAAAAGGTGTTTTTGTGGCAAATGTACGAATTCAGTTTGTAGCCATAGCCTAATTAATTCAATAAAGCAGTCAGAACGCAAATATCATTTACATTTGCATTAAACACAACTTAAATGATCTTATATCTCTCCGCTGAAACGTTTTTGCTTGTTTTAATGAAATGCTATTTATTAAATCCAATATGAGTCATCGACTCATTAATAAAAAAATCAAAACAGACGGTTCTGGATTCAATGAAGTGTTGTTGAGTTGACTCGAGAACAATTCAACGAATTCTTCAGCCCGGTTTTGTGAACCGTTTCTTCACAATTCATTCGATGATACTTTACAGTCTAATCTGTGTCAAAAATATTGGGATTATGCATCATCTTTAACTCTACTTAAATGATCTTATATCTCTCCGCTGAAACGTTTTTGCTTGTTTTAATGAAATGCTATTTATTAAATCCAATATGAGTCATCGACTCATTAATAAAAAAATCAAAACAGACGGTTCTGGATTCAAGTGTTGTTGAGTTGACTCGAGAACAATTCAACGAATTCTTCAGCCCGGTTTTGTGAACCGTTTCTTCACAATTCATTCGATGATACTTTACAGTCTAATCTGTGTCAAAAATATTGGGATTATGCATCATCTTTAACTCTTGAGTAATCATGCCAGTATAAATCAGCATTGCATCATTTACATCCATAGTGCTACAGAAATATGAATATGAGCAATGCATTGAACATCCACATCCCTTAAAGCCTTTAGTTACATATGCACAAGTAAAATCGTATCGATTTGTGCAGTATGAGATGATCACCCGCTACACTTCAACAGCTCGGTTTGCTTGAATTGAAAAGTGCATTGTCACATACCTGCCATGCTCGTTATTTGTCAAAGCTACTTTGTAGCTCGGACTCCCAGAACAGCAGTGTCACTTCGATAAAAGGAGAAAAGAGACTCTGTATCACGCAGGGAGTTCATTTATACCAGCTCGGACCTTCTCCATAAATACTGCTGCCAGTCACGTGACCAGAAAGTGCGGACACGGCCATGATTGGTTCGTGATCCTTGGGGGCGTGGCTTCATATATGTGACTGCACTTGGGTAGAAGATTTTCGGTTGTAATTGATATGAATGTAATAGGGAAGGTGTGTACTTTCAATTTTTTTTAATATTGTTTCATAAATATATTGTATATATTTGTATGATTGTGTAAGGTATTTATACCTTTGTATATTCCATATTAAATACATTCTATATTTTGATGTCCAAGGCACATAATGCATTAACTCATACCGTTAACGAAAAGTCCCGTGGGCAGTTGCATAAATGACTTTGACTGGTCTTAAACGTTAGTTATCAATTTTTCTGTTCTTTTCTTTTCTTCAAGACTGGTCATAGCCTTTTAAGTTCAGTTACATAAAATGGTATATTGGTCTAATTTGAATCTGAAAAGTAAGGCTGATTACCACTTGGTTAACTGCTAGTTTGTCAAACTTGTTCTGAAACTGTTAACTAAGTTAAAACTATGATTAGGACTGTTTGTCAGCTATACTAACCGAATAAGCAGAGCACATGTACAACAGTTTGTTCTGATAGTGAGACAGATATCGAGCCATCTCTAGAACAGAACAGAACAGAATAGAATAGAATAGAATAGAATAATAGATACGAACTGATTGGTGTCTGATAAAAGTGTCTGCTAAATGACTAAATAAATAAATAAATGCCACCTACTGGTCAGAGTTTAGTTGTGCTTTCATTGTGATTCCTAAATAATTTATATTAAATCATTCTAGATATGTATTACTATAAATATGTAGAATTATATTTTTGTGGGAAAACCCACCTCTGCACACAGGATTAGTTTTTAGGGTAATAATAATAATAATGATAATAATAACAACAATAATAATAATTAATAATAATAAACTTTATTTTGTATATCACCTTTAAAAGTACCATCTCAAAGCACTTTACATACACATACAAATATGAAGTTGAAAGATTTAGAAGACACAAAAAGTTTGCAATAGTATTTCTAATGGCTATATTCAACTATTCTCGAGTGATATATATATTTAATATGGAACATTTTATTTAAACATACAAAATTAACTTAGAATAGATAAAATAGATCAAAACAAATAATACATTTAATAGTACAGTACTGTAGTGACTACAGAGACTAATAAAAAATTATATTATTATACAAATAATATTTATACATATATATATATATAGATATATAG